TATAGGCTTCGATTTTGTTAAAAAATGTTACTCGGTTTTTTGAGGTAAATATGCTACTCACATTAATATCCTTACCTGTAGAACACATTGCAATTATATTCAAAGCTGTTAAGGGCTTTTTTGAAGTGTTTCTGAAAAAAACTTTGATCCTAAAAAATGACGAATTTTCTAAGGCTATAGGCTTCGATTTTGTTAAAAAATGTTACTCGGTTTTTTGAGGTAAATATGCTACTCACATTAATATCCTTACCTGTAGAACACATTGCAATTATATTGAGAGCTGTTAAGGGCTTTTTTGAAGTGTTTCTGAAAAAAACTTTGATCCTAAAAAATGACGAATTTTCTAAGGCTATAGGCTTCGATTTTGTTAAAAAATGTTACTCGGTTTTTTGAGTTAAATATGCTACTCACATTAATATTCTTACCTGTAGAACACATTGAAATAATATTCAGAGCTGTTAAGGGCTTTTTTGAAGTGTTTTTGAGGAAAAACTTTGACCCTAAAAAATGACGAATTTTCTAAGGCTATAGGCTTTGATTTTGCAAGAAAATGTTACTCGATTTTTTAACGTAAGTATGCTACTCACATGAATATCTTTATCTGTAGAACACATTGAAATAATATTAAGAGCTGTTAAGGGATATTTTCAAGTGCTTCTGATAAAAAACTTTGACCCTAAAAATGAAGAATTTTCTAAGGCTATAAGCTTTGATTTTGCAAGAAAATGTTACTCGATTTTTTAAGATAAATATGCTACTCACATTAATTTCCTTACATGTAGAACACATTGAAATAGTATTCAGAGCTGTTAAGGGCTATTTTCAAGTGTTTCTGAAAAAAACTTTGATCCTAAAAAATGACGAATTTTCTAAGGCTATAGGCTTCGATTTTGTTAAAAAATGTTACTCGGTTTTTTGAGTTAAATATGCTACTCACATTAATATCCTTACCTGTAGAACACATTGAAATAATATTCAGAGCTGTTAAGGGCTATTTTCAAGTGTTTCTGAAAAAAACTTTGATCCTAAAAAATGACGAATTTTCTAAGGCTATAGGCTTCGATTTTGTTAAAAAATGTTACTCGGTTTTTTGAGGTAAATATGCTACTCACATTAATATCCTTACCTGTAGAACACATTGCAATTATATTCAAAGCTGTTAAGGGCTTTTTTGAAGTGTTTCTGAAAAAAACTTTGATCCTAAAAAATGACGAATTTTCTAAGGCTATAGGCTTCGATTTTGTTAAAAAATGTTACTCGGTTTTTTGAGGTAAATATGC